AACTAAATTATATTGCACTTTTAAAAAGTGCTTTATTGGAGTTATTGTGTGTGTTCAAGTGCCCTATGGGTCTTAACATCCAAATTTCATAAAAACCAGTCATCCATGCAACTTTCGAGAAAATTTTCGGATGCAAGAGCAGACAAGTGCCAAGATCGGATTAGGTTTTGGGCATGCTGGATAAATTACATGGCATTTTGCTCTTCAAGGTGCAATATTTATCACTGAGTGTCCTGTTATTTAAGTATATGACTGATATGTTACTTCTATATTCTTTATGTTTGTTTCAGGAGGTCCCGGGTCTCGGAAAGGACATATTATAGATAACATCATCAATGTGTATGAACTAGTATGTCTTAGTGCAATATTTGTCACTATCTAATTACTACTTGTTTAGACTCTAGCTTCTATTTTCTTTGTTTCAGGAGGTCCCCGGTCCCGGGAAGGACGTATTATAGATTACGTCATCAATGTGTATGAACTAGTATGTCTTAGTGCAATATTTGTCACTATCTAATTACTACTTGTTTAGACTCTAGCTTCTATTTTCTTTGTTTCAGGAGGTCCCGGGTCTCGGAAAGGACGTATTATAGATAACATCATCAATGTGTATGAACTAGTATGTCTTAGTGCAATATTTGTCACTATCTAATTACTACTTGTTTAGACTCTAGCTTCTATTTTCTTTGTTTATTATGGGAGGTCCCGGGTCTCGGAAAGGACGTATTATAGATTACGTCATCAATGTGTATGAACTAGTATGTCTTAGTGCAATATTTGTCACTATCTAATTACTACTTGTTTAGACTCTAGCTTCTATTTTCTTTGTTTATTATGGGAGGTCCCGGGTCTCGGAAAGGACGTATTATAGATAACATCATCAATGTGTATGAACTAGTATGTCTTAGTGCAATATTTGTCACTATCTAATTACTACTTGTTTAGACTCTAGCTTCTATTTTCTTTGTTTCAGGAGGTCCCGGGTCTCGGAAAGGACGTATTATAGATAACATCATCAATGTGTATGAACTAGTATGTCTTAGTGCAATATTTGTCACTATCTAATTACTACTTGTTTAGACTCTAGCTTCTATTTTCTTTGTTTATTATGGGAGGTCCCGGGTCTCGGAAAGGACGTATTATAGCTTACGTCATCAATGTGTATGAACTAGTATGTCTTAGTGCAATATTTGTCACTATCTAATTACTACTTGTTTAGACTCTAGCTTCTATTTTCTTTGTTTATTATGGGAGGTCCCGGGTCTCGGAAAGGACGTATTATAGATTACGTCATCAATGTGTATGAACTAGTATGTCTTAGTGCAATATTTGTCACTATCTAATTACTACTTGTTTAGACTCTAGCTTCTATTTTCTTTGTTTATTATGGGAGGTCCCCGGTCCCGGGAAGGACGTATTATAGATTACGTCATCAATGTGTATGAACTAGTATGTCTTAGTGCAATATTTGTCACTATCTAATTACTACTTGTTTAGACTCTAGCTTCTATTTTCTTTGTTTATTATGGGAGGTCCCGGGTCTCGGAAAGGACGTATTATAGATAACATCATCAATGTGTATGAACTAGTATGTCTTAGTGCAATATTTGTCACTATCTAATTACTACTTGTTTAGACTCTAGCTTCTATTTTCTTTGTTTATTATGGGAGGTCCCCGGTCCCGGGAAGGACGTATTATAGATTACGTCATCAATGTGTATGAACTAGTATGTCTTAGTGCAATATTTGTCACTATCTAATTACTACTTGTTTAGACTCTAGCTTCTATTTTCTTTGTTTATTATGGGAGGTCCCCGGTCCCGGGAAGGACGTATTATAGATTACGTCATCAATGTGTATGAACTAGTATGTCTTAGTGCAATATTTGTCACTATCTAATTACTACTTGTTTAGACTCTAGCTTCTATTTTCTTTGTTTATTATGGGAGGTCCCCGGTCCCGGGAAGGACGTATTATAGATTACGTCATCAATGTGTATGAACTAGTATGTCTTAGTGCAATATTTGTCACTATCTAATTACTACTTGTTTAGACTCTAGCTTCTATTTTCTTTGTTTATTATGGGAGGTCCCGGGTCTCGGAAAGGACGTATTATAGATTACGTCATCAATGTGTATGAACTAGTATGTCTTAGTGCAATATTTGTCACTATCTAATTACTACTTGTTTAGACTCTAGCTTCTATTTTCTTTGTTTATTATGGGAGGTCCCCGGTCCCGGGAAGGACGTATTATAGATTACGTCATCAATGTGTATGAACTAGTATGTCTTAGTGCAATATTTGTCACTATCTAATTACTACTTGTTTAGACTCTAGCTTCTATTTTCTTTGTTTATTATGGGAGGTCCCGGGTCTCGGAAAGGACGTATTATAGATTACGTCATCAATGTGTATGAACTAGTATGTCTTAGTGCAATATTTGTCACTATCTAATTACTACTTGTTTAGACTCTAGCTTCTATTTTCTTTGTTTATTATGGGAGGTCCCGGGTCTCGGAAAGGACGTATTATAGATTACGTCATCAATGTGTATGAACTAGTATGTCTTAGTGCAATATTTGTCACTATCTAATTACTACTTGTTTAGACTCTAGCTTCTATTTTCTTTGTTTATTATGGGAGGTCCCGGGTCTCGGAAAGGACGTATTATAGATTACGTCATCAATGTGTATGAACTAGTATGTCTTAGTGCAATATTTGTCACTATCTAATTACTACTTGTTTAGACTCTAGCTTCTATTTTCTTTGTTTATTATGGGAGGTCCCCGGTCCCGGAAAGGACGTATTATAGATTACGTCATCAATGTGTATGAACTAGTATGTCTTAGTGCAATATTTGTCACTATCTAATTACTACTTGTTTAGACTCTAGCTTCTATTTTCTTTGTTTATTATGGGAGGTCCCGGGTCCCGGGAAGGACGTATTATAGATAACATCATCAATGTGTATGAACTAGTATGTCTTAGTGCAATATTTGTCACTATCTAATTACTACTTGTTTAGACTCTAGCTTCTATTTTCTTTGTTTATTATGGGAGGTCCCCGGTCCCGGGAAGGACGTATTATAGATTACGTCATCAATGTGTATGAACTAGTATGTCTTAGTGCAATATTTGTCACTATCTAATTACTACTTGTTTAGACTCTAGCTTCTATTTTCTTTGTTTATTATGGGAGGTCCCCGGTCCCGGGAAGGACGTATTATAGATTACGTCATCAATGTGTATGAACTAGTATGTCTTAGTGCAATATTTGTCACTATCTAATTACTACTTGTTTAGACTCTAGCTTCTATTTTCTTTGTTTATTATGGGAGGTCCCCGGTCCCGGGAAGGACGTATTATAGATTACGTCATCAATGTGTATGAACTAGTATGTCTTAGTGCAATATTTGTCACTATCTAATTACTACTTGTTTAGACTCTAGCTTCTATTTTCTTTGTTTATTATGGGAGGTCCCCGGTCCCGGGAAGGACGTATTATAGATTACGTCATCAATGTGTATGAACTAGTATGTCTTAGTGCAATATTTGTCACTATCTAATTACTACTTGTTTAGACTCTAGCTTCTATTTTCTTTGTTTATTATGGGAGGTCCCCGGTCCCGGGAAGGACGTATTATAGATTACGTCATCAATGTGTATGAACTAGTATGTCTTAGTGCAATATTTGTCACTATCTAATTACTACTTGTTTAGACTCTAGCTTCTATTTTCTTTGTTTATTATGGGAGGTCCCGGGTCTCGGAAAGGACGTATTATAGATTACGTCATCAATGTGTATGAACTAGTATGTCTTAGTGCAATATTTGTCACTATCTAATTACTACTTGTTTAGACTCTAGCTTCTATTTTCTTTGTTTATTATGGGAGGTCCCCGGTCCCGGGAAGGACGTATTATAGATTACGTCATCAATGTGTATGAACTAGTATGTCTTAGTGCAATATTTGTCACTATCTAATTACTACTTGTTTAGACTCTAGCTTCTATTTTCTTTGTTTATTATGGGAGGTCCCGGGTCTCGGAAAGGACGTATTATAGATTACGTCATCAATGTGTATGAACTAGTATGTCTTAGTGCAATATTTGTCACTATCTAATTACTACTTGTTTAGACTCTAGCTTCTATTTTCTTTGTTTATTATGGGAGGTCCCCGGTCCCGGGAAGGACGTATTATAGATAACATCATCAATGTGTATGAACTAGTATGTCTTAGTGCAATATTTGTCACTATCTAATTACTACTTGTTTAGACTCTAGCTTCTATTTTCTTTGTTTATTATGGGAGGTCCCCGGTCCCGGGAAGGACGTATTATAGATTACGTCATCAATGTGTATGAACTAGTATGTCTTAGTGCAATATTTGTCACTATCTAATTACTACTTGTTTAGACTCTAGCTTCTATTTTCTTTGTTTATTATGGGAGGTCCCCGGTCCCGGGAAGGACGTATTATAGATTACGTCATCAATGTGTATGAACTAGTATGTCTTAGTGCAATATTTGTCACTATCTAATTACTACTTGTTTAGACTCTAGCTTCTATTTTCTTTGTTTATTATGGGAGGTCCCCGGTCCCGGGAAGGACGTATTATAGATTACGTCATCAATGTGTATGAACTAGTATGTCTTAGTGCAATATTTGTCACTATCTAATTACTACTTGTTTAGACTCTAGCTTCTATTTTCTTTGTTTATTATGGGAGGTCCCCGGTCCCGGGAAGGACGTATTATAGATTACGTCATCAATGTGTATGAACTAGTATGTCTTAGTGCAATATTTGTCACTATCTAATTACTACTTGTTTAGACTCTAGCTTCTATTTTCTTTGTTTATCATGGGAGGTCCCCGGTCCCGGGAAGGACGTATTATAGATTACGTCATCAATGTGTATGAACTAGTATGTCTTAGTGCAATATTTGTCACTATCTAATTACTACTTGTTTAGACTCTAGCTTCTATTTTCTTTGTTTATTATGGGAGGTCCCCGGTCCCGGGAAGGACGTATTATAGATTACGTCATCAATGTGTATGAACTAGTATGTCTTAGTGCAATATTTATCATTGTGTTATTACTTGTTTAGACTCTAGCTTCTATTTTCTTTGTTATTGTAGGAGGTCCCGGATCCCGGAAAGGACGTATCGTAGATGACCTCATCAATGTGTATGGCTTTAACTATCTCAGCGCAGAAGATCTCATTCTCGGCCACCTCCCTAAGAAAGTTCGCAATGTCTCCAAGCTAGAAACTACAAAAGATATTTGTGATTTTGTACGGGTATGTGCTGCCACCTATTATCAAAGTCAGGAAATTCTAGGGCGCGTTGCTCTAATTTGCCCTTACCTTATTTAGCGTATCTCATAATGTTCAAAACACCCTTTTCTATACATATATATCCTCTTTCAAAATCTTATAATTTTCTCCTATATTTAATGTGTTGATGTTGATTGAGATTTTCCCTTGGTTTGGTCCATAGAGCCAACCACAAGGATTCAAGTAGATGAAATGGTATAATCATAAAATTTTTAAACCTGAGGATAAACTTGGCTTTAAATGACAGAGGATTGACATTGACATGGCTGATTAGGTAAATCCTCACTAACCTGTACACTGTGTATGTAGGTAGTAACCAATTAGTAAGAAAAAAATCAGATTTTATATAATCATGAGCCATCGAGCATTGGATAAACACATTCTCCAACCCCATCCCCCAACTTCATTCTTGGCTCACTCCCTATTTTGCAGTCTCATTTGACCTTATTGTCTAACTTTCTAGGTTCATTTAGCACTCACATTTCTTCCCCATCCCCACTTTTCTGCCTCGCTCCCATATTTTTGTAACATCCCCATATATCAGCCTCAGCCTAATTTTTACCCAACCCCTACATTTCTACCCTCACATTCCTTCTGCATTCCCACATTTCAGCCTCAAACACCCACATTTCCTTCCTCGCCCCTATTTTCCTGCCTCACTTCCACATTTCTACCTCACTTTATTTTGTATTGTATTTTGTTTAACACCAATTACGGTGAGCAATACCTCTTGGGTATATCGCGTATATATACGGTCATAATTTATGCAATTAACCTTGAAGATAGATCCAGAAACCCCTCCTTGGAGGAGCCCTGTGTTCTTTTATGTGCACTTATACATAGTCATATAAGTACACACCACAGCCTTTTGTAACAGTTGTGGACCACCCAGCCATACACTCTGAAATACTTTAAGCAAACAAGCAAATTAAGTTTAGCCTGAACCGAAATCGAATCCGGGCCGGATCTATTGGATAAGAGGGCTGAGCTGTATGGGGGGACTTAAACACTTCTTCCTCATACCCACATCTCTGCCCTACCTTCGAAAACAGGAAGTACAATATGAATTTATTCTCTCCACTCAATTGTACTTTTGTATAATTGCCATCATATTCATTAACAGGAACTGCATATGCAAATTAACAGATGATCTGAAGGATTAATGCCCTTGTTACAAAACAATATATTGATGCATTTTTGATGCTCCAATAGACTAATGTTATATTGTTGTATTGTCTCTATCTCTATGTCATTGTCTCTCGTATACTTTGCAGTGATCTTATTTTTCTCATTTAGGTCATCAATCTTTGTATCCATTTTGCTCAAAATATTTCAAATCTCAGCCTTTGAAAGCAGGTTTTCAACAAGGTGTAATAGAATTTTCAGATTTTCAATAGGGTGGCATGCAACCTTTTAATTATCAACAGGGTGACATGTAATTTTCTAATTTTCAACAGGGTGGCCTGTAACTTTCTAATTTTCAACAGGGTGGCATGTAACTTTCCAATTTTCAACAGGGTGGCCTGTAACTTTCTAATTTTCAACAGGGTGGCAAGTAACTTTCCAATTTTCAACAGGGTGACATGTAACTTTCTAATTTTCAACAGGTGGCATGTAACTTTTTTAATTTTCAACAGGGTGTAGAGTAACTTTCTAATTATCAACAGGGTGGCATGAAACTTTCTCATTTCCAATAGGGTGCATACTAGTCGATCTAATGCTCGGGAGGCAACCGCTGAGACATATTCTCATCAGAATATATTGTATGCCATGGGGCAAACTAAATTACAATGCACTAAGATTGCATCAAGACATTAATACTGTTTGTTACCATGGAAACACATACGTCAGGAACACAACATGTGACCTAGTAATTGTCTATGAATAGTTTCTATGTCTGACTGGTTCTATATATGGCATCAAATTGAATATATTGCTATATTTAAATATCATATCTAATTTTATATATCCTTTTGTTTTCATTCATAGAAAGTATAACACTTTGGCATTCTTTATAGCAAAAATATATGAACTTTTCTTTTTAATGGGGTGAAAAGTGGTGACATATTGTTATCGTCTCCAACTTTTATGTGGATGGTGTTCAGCATTCAGCTGTTGGTGTTTGGCAGTTGGTGATTGGTGGTTGGCATATGGGGTCTGTCGGTCTGTAACAAATAGCAGGTTGTGAGATTTTGCATGTTAGTGCCTTGTTCCTGATTTAGATTTTTGTATGCTTTTTCACATGACAAATTCTGAGGTCCTTGCCTTGACAAAATGAAGAAAAATGTTTCAGATCATCTTGACGGACTGAGAACTGACATCTAATTGTGAATACATACATGTATACATGTATTGATTTTCAATAGTTTAAGCCTGCTCTAACCTTAAAGGAATATTCCTTGCCAAACCATCTCTCTCCTTGCATATGGTAGCTATAACCATATATATGCTTGCCATGTTTAGCAAAACACGCAAAAATGTTTTGATATGGTCAAATTTGATCACTTAGAAATGTGATGCTCAATTCCAGTAAGCTACCATCTTTTAAAATTTCACACAGGAAGTGATGTCATCGACTCTCAACTTTGCATATAGCATTAGGTGAGGAAGTATTAAGAATTACAAAACCAGCTAAATATTATTTTTCAACTTAGTATCTTATTCAATCCTTCTGAAAATCTCTTCTTTTATTCTAAGTTGACAAGCCCTGAAAATATTTTTGCACAGAAAGTAACAATCAATTGTCTAGAAGTGATTTTGAGCTACTTTCCTATACTGTTATGGGCAAGGTTATAGAAGTTGAGAGTTGATGACATCACTCCCTGCAAGAAATCTTAAAAGATGGCAGCTCACTGGAAATAAGCACTAGATTTTTAAATGATCAATATTGACCATATTAAAACATTTTCCCATGTTTTGCTAAATATGGAAACTATATATATATCATTATAGCTACCATATCAAGAGAGAAAGGGTCTGGCAAGGAATATTCCTTTAAACACTGTTTATTCATATATACTAGGCCTATATACTGTAGCAGTGCTCTCCCCAGGATTATTTGTATGGATGATTTTGTTATTTTTTTTGTGCAACATTTTAGTATTTTGAAACTTTTTGTAAAACACATCAGCCTAGAATGGGTTCTGACACTCAAAGTGAACCACATAGAGGCAAACCCCAATGGAGCTTATCTAGTTGATATTATGCTCAATTTGAAATGGAAACACACTTAAATGACTGCATTGAATGACTGAAATATTGTTTTGTAGGATGACCCTAGTCACATCAGCCTAGAATGGGTTCTTACACTCATTGTGAACCATATAGAAGCAAACCCCAATGGAGCTTACCTAGTAGATATTATGCCCAATTTGAAATAGAAACACACGTAAATGACTGCATTGAATGACTGAAATATTGTTTCGTAGGATGACCCAAGTCACATCAGCCTAGAATGGGTTCTGACACTCATTGTGAACCATATAGAAGCAAACCCCAATAGAGCTTACCTAGTTGATATTATGCCTAATTTGAAATAGAAACACACTTAAATGACTTGAATGACTGAAATATTATTTTGTAGGATGACCCTTAGTCACATCAGCCTAGAATGGGTTCTGACACTCATAGTGAACCATATAGAAGCAAACCCCAATGGAGTTTACCTAGTAGATATTATGCTCAATTTGAAATAGAAACACACTTAAATGACTTGAATGACTGAAATATTGTTTTGTAGGATGACCCAAGTCACATCAGCCTAGAATGGGTTCTGACACTCATTGTGAACAACATAGAAGCAAACCCCAATGGAGCTTACCTAGTAGATATTATGCCCAATTTTGAAATAGAAACACACTTAAATGACTGCATTGAATGACTGAAATATTATTTTGTAGGATGACCCTAGTCACATTAGCCTAGATTGGGTTCTGACACTCATAGTGAACCATATAGAAGCAAACCCCAATGGAGCTTACCTGGTAGATATTATGCCCAATTTGAAATGAAACACACTTAAATGACTGCATTGAATGACTGAAATATTATTTTGTAGGATGACCCCAGTCACATCAGCCTAGAATGGGTTCTGACACTCATAGTGAACCACATCGAAGCAAACCCCAATGGAGCTTACCTAGTTGATATTATGCCTAATTTGAAATGGCTCATGAGAATTGAAACATTCTCAAAAGAATGTAAAGATGAGATCAAAGCATTTGAAGATAGGGTGAGTACTAATTATGCCTCTACCAATAATGTTCTTCCAATCATGCATCTTCAGGGGCAACAAGTGTTTGTGAATAAAATTGCTGCTTATGTTAAAAAAACTTTGGCGATTAGCTGATTTTTTTATTCTTTTGATGAACTTGAAATGAAATGATATATCTCATAGTCTAATGATAACATGCAAAAATCAATAAAAATGGCAGTCTGAAACTTCATGCACGTTTTCATGATTAAATGGGTTATAGCTACTTATTTTACTTCAAAGCACCAGATGGATTTTCTATATCCATTTGAATATGTGACTCTCAGTAAGATTATGAAAAATTTCTGCAATGCAAACATCAGATTGGTTTTTTAACTTTTCTTTGCATTATGTAAATACAAAACATTAAATTGTTGAGAGCCTAAGTTGAAAGCATTGTTAGCCCCCTTGGCATTTCCCTCCCCCCCCCAAATGGTAATGCTGCCTTTGGAATATATTGACCAAGAAATATTGAACATTTGGGAAGACTTGATACGACTATGTCTGAGAATTCTTTGTGTTTTAGTTTAAGGTATCATTTGCGCTGAACTTAGCAATCCCGGCTGACAAAGCCATTAAGAACAAGGAAATCCATTGTGCAAAGCACCCAGGGGCCAACAGTAAATTGAAGAAAGAGGGGGGACAGAGCGATGAGGCTGATAGCGGACGCACACAGGTAATTCACCCACAGGATGACTATCTATAAGTCTAGCTATAAGCCCCTGTGACCCCCACCCCCCCCCCCTCCCACTTCTTACACAGGGAGGTGTGTAGTGGGGGAGGAACAAATGCTTGTATCTAGACTAGATCTTAATACAAATATGAGTAGGATGTACTTGAAAAAATGAAATCAGGGTTCGAAACTCATAGGTTTCTGACTGCAACGGCAACACATTCTTAATCATAGTGATAAATTTGAAAAAGTGGTTGCCTATTTGCAATGCTTACTCAGTCCATTGCCCAATAGTGCTAGAGTACTGATTCAAGTGAATAATGCAGATTCGAGTAGGTAGTTATCAGTTTCACCACCATGTGGCTCGTTCGGGTCAGATAGCATGGCCCGTATAGTAGAAAGTTCCCTTTAACTTAATATACATCTGTATCATTTCACCCTTATGTATCTAATGCAAATTAAAATATGTCCAGTAAGTGGAAATGTTATCTGTCCAATACAAAAAAAGATATTACACTTTTTGTGATTTTGTAACATGTGGTCTATTGGGAATCTCCCCGAACTACAAGTCACATTTCAAAAAAATTTAATTTTCAAAGTTGATAAACAATTTTTCGAAACCATATTTTTAGATGTACTTTTACATTTAGATTTCACTTTGACTGAATTTTGAATATTTGATGAGGTAAATAAGGATTATTTCTACTCGCATCTAGTCTGTTTTTAATACAGATAAATACCTCTTCTTTTGAGGATTTGATCAATACCTCCATTGTAAAGATTTATTAATAAGATGTCTTTTAATTCAGTATCACATTGCAAATTATTTGCTCAGTATAATCAGATAGGATAATCCATCTTTGGAAAAAACACTTTGGAATAATTGTATAAATTACAAGTCCCTCAATTGTAAATTAATGTAAAACTGCATACATGTATTCTCTTCCAGAAAAGGGCGGCTCTACACGAGGAGTGTGCCAAGCCATGGCTACAGTACTTTGAGTCAGGTCAACGACTAGTGACGATTGATGTATCGTGCGGGAGTGCAGACCCGATCTGGTACAAAGTCAACCAACTTTTTGTGGAATTGAAGTTTAGGCCACATAGAATGGCCAACACTGTCATAATATTCTCATTTGGTAAGTGAAATTTTTTTTAGCATTTTAAAACACATTTGATTCAAATGGAGACTAAAACAAACTGTTAGTACCTCAATTTATAACTTGCAAACTGATTTCCGTAAATTACTGTTAGGTGGAAATAACGGGAGTTTTCAATTATAGTATTAAGACTATGCCTAATATTTTTTGAAAGCCTTCATTTAAATATTATTAAAAGTTATAACAGAAAAATTATCTTTAAGAGTAAAGGATGTCTGCTCTGTTTTTCAATATTTTTGTTTTGGATCAGAATTGGGTTCCAACAAAATTCTTATTGATTTAGCCATTGTATGGAGAGGTTTATTTTGTCCAAGGTGAAGTAGATTTCAAGTAAAATTTTGAAATAATTATAGGACTTGAAATTAGTGAAAATTATGAAAGGGTGCCAATGTGTCCTTGTAGCATAAAAAGTCATTGATGAAACAATTAATTGATGTAACTTGATGTGAGAAATCATAACTGTTCAAATGTCACTCGTTTTTGACTCACCCTGTATTTTTGGTATGGATAGAGTTAACTTTAGAGACTATTTCAGAAAACGATGTCACCTCTTGTTAGGGTTAGCCAAAAAGTAAAACCCAAACAAATGTTATTACCGTATTATCGCCTATTGGCGCACACTCCCCTATAAGCGCACATGCAACTTTGGAAACATGACAAACATTTGTGATTAGAGCAAAAGAGTAAGAAAACTTACAGAATAACGTTTTTTAACTCACCAAATTTCATTTCCGGGTAGGAAAATCCAACTTCCGGTCTGCGCAAACTTTGATGCGCGGTAGTTATTATGACGATAAAATAAAAGTCAAAACCTTTACCTGATAAATATCGCAATATTTCTTTATTTTACCAATACTGTAGTTGGTTCTTTAAAAAATGTAATATTATGGTAAATAAACGACACAAGATATGATTTGGCGTGAAAAAACAGTAAGTAAGATAATATTCATTTCAAACCAGGCTTCGATTTCTGATTTTCACATATTATCGCCCAATCAAAATGATAACTTATATGTGTGCTTATTGGGACTTTATTGGATTGATTTCTCTCCAATTCCATGGTATTTCACCTCAATTTCACAAGCGCACTGTGCGCCAATAGGCGATAATACGGTAACTCAATTAGTAGAACTTATGGCTGACTAAATATTAACATTTGTTTGGGTTACATTTTGTTGCCTCGCCCTGCAATTTTGGAATTGTCACGTGGAACACACTCTTGGTTCTTTGGTGCAACAAAAGATGGCAGGATTTGTTTGGAATATATTTTATTAATCAAACAAAACAAAATAATGATTGAAGTGAGGGTTCTTATGTTCTATAATAACAATACAATGTTTAAACAATTGGAATAATTATTTCTTTTTTTCCATAATAATTTTTGTTTACATAATAATTTTCTTTACAAAATAATTTTCTTTACATTATAATTTTCTATCATCCTCTAAACACAGGGCTCCAGACATATTCACATTGTTCCTCCTTTCCAGGAGCCATGTGTTCAGATGATGATTTTCTATCAAAATATATATTTTAATCTATTCCATCAATTTGATACAAAAATAGTAGATAACTTTTTCATTATTTTTCTGTTAAATAAAACAACAGGCAAATTAATGGAAATTATAAATTTAACATGGAAAAGTTAAAAAGTCCCTAAAAAACAGGCAATTTTGTGAAAACAACCAGTGAAAATCGCCTGTTGCCTGCTGCGAATGAAACCCCTGTTATATGTCTTATATTTCTTGTGTCTTTTTACCACTTGTCGAGTTAACTACAGTACATATAGATAACATATAATACACAATAAAATTTTACTCATTTTCCACACCTTGATTTATGTATTGTATTTGTTTGGAAATTGCCTTGTGAAAAGGTGCATTTTAAAAACTGGTGTAAAATGGTCTCAACATTTTGGACTGAAAATTATGTCCTGTGAAGATATCCTTTTTGGGTGAAGTTATATAACACTGTGTTAAGCATAAGAATAAGGATATAGTGTTCATAATCATTGAAGCGTAATTTTTAGTACAATATGAATTATCAAATTTCACTACTCTTATCAAATTTCAAAATTATGTACAGTAAAACCTGTCTAAGTGGAACACCTCATAGAGGTTCATTTAACATTAAGTCAACTAGTCTTGAAATTCTGAAAATTGTCTCTGTCAGAGGTTTCTGTGTACCGCTGCACAGATCTATTTTGAATCAATTTTTCATTTGCAACACCATTTAGTATATATGCTTTAATCTAACTAAAAGTACAAGTTTGCAATGGCACAAGATACAGGTTAACACATATTATGTCACTCTAATGAAAGGATATACTGGTATTAAAGCACTAATATGATTTCAAACTTAAAATGCTAGAAATATGTATCTCCCAATAAAGAGGTCACTGGAATTCAATATATGCCGGGTTCATATATTTTACAGGTTGAGACTCAATTAACTTATGTTCTTCTGAAATAATGAGGAGATAAGGAATTGTAGTGTTTTGTTAGCAAATGGATGGGTTAAGCAAAAACATTGTAATTAGGTAATCGTTTTGACCTTACCAAAAGGAAGACACTTCAATATCGGTTTTCACTTTATACAATAAGGCTGCTCTGTTTTTGACACAGTCATCACTCACTGGGCTGTCAGATTGGTCTGTCACTGCCAGTCAGGCAGTATGGGTACTTACATAGGAGTATACAGTAAAACCTGTCTATTTCTAGAGGTGTTCCACTTTATAGGTTTCACTGTATAATTGGAGTTTGTTGGGCTTGGCTGCATTCCTTAATACATGTATGGTTTGCTAAGTTCTAGTAATTTGGTATATAGAAACGGTTAGATTAGAGAGAGCCTCCATCTTAAAAATGGTGAAAATGTAAGAAAATTAATATGGATCATCATATGTGTTTGTAATTCCAAGTTTCAAGCAGAATGGGTGTATCTTACTAACATCTTACCAGTATACTAGTATCTTACTATGACTAGGTCATTAATAAAATGTCAATGTATAATGTCAATGATTTAAGTCAGTTTCATGTTAGAGTGCAGGAACAAATGAATTATTCTATTTATTCTACACTTTTCAATCAATTTTAATGATTTTATGTAATCAGGGTGTGAATCTCCTCCATACTGATGAGCAATGCTTAGAGCTTCAAAGTAATAAGTCAATGCTTCTGTATGCTCCTTCATGTTCTCATGTATGATACCTATGTTTCGCAATGATTTAGCTACACTTGGGTGAGGATTGTCCTTGTGTATTAGTCTTTCCATTGTCAGACTTTGTTGATGATATTCAAGTGCTTCAGTCAGATCTCCCATGTCATTATACATACAACCTATGTTGTTAAGTGAGGTTGCAACATCTGGGTGGGGACTGTCTTTGTGTATTAGTCTTTCCATTGTCAGACTTTGTTGATGATATTCAAGTGCTTTAGTCAGTTCTCCCATGCCATTATACATATTACCTATGTTGTTAAGTGAGGTTGCAACATTTGGGTGGGGACTGTCTTTGTGTATTAGTCTATATATTGTCAGACTTTCTTGATGATACTCAAGTGCTTTAGTCAGATCTCCCATGTCTTTATACACACGACCTATGTTGTTAAGTGATGCAGCAACATCTGGATGGGGACTGTCTTTGTGTATTAGTCTTTTCATTGTCAGACTCTCTTGATGATACTCAAGTGCTTTAGTCAGATCTCCCATGTCATTATACACACTACCTATGTTGTTAAGTGAGGTTGCAACATTTGGGTGGGGACTGTCTTTGTGTATTAGTCTATATATTGTCAGACTTTCTTGATGATACTCAAGTGCTTCAGTCAGATCTCCCATGTCATTATACACACCACCTATGTTGTTAAGTGAGGTTGCAACATTTGGGTGGGGACTGTCTTTGTGTATTTGTCTATATATTGTCAGACTTTCTTGATGATACTCAAGTGCTTTAGTCAGATCTCCCATGTCTTTATACACACCACCTATGTTGTTAAGTGAGGTTGCAACATCTGGGTGGGGACTGTCTTTGTGTATTAGTCTTTCCATTGTCAGACTTTGTTGATGATATTCAAGTGCTTTAGTCCGATCTCCCATGTCTTTATACACATTACCTATGTTGTTAAGTGACATTGCAACATCTGGGTGGGGACTGTCTTTGTGTATTAGTCTTTCCATTGTCAGACTTTGTTGATGATATTCAAGTGCTTTAGTCCGATCTCCCATGTCTTTATACACACCACCTATGTTGTTAAGTGAGGTTGCAACATCTGGGTGGGGACTGTCTTTGTGTATTAGTCTTTCCATTGTCAGACTTTGTTGATGATATTCAAGTGCTTTAGTCCGATCTCCCATGTCTTTATACACATTACCTATGTTGTTAAGTGACATTGCAACATCTGGGTGGGGACTGTCTTTGTGTATTAGTCTTAACATTGTCAGACTTTCTTGATGATATTCAAGTGCTTTAGTCCGATCTCCCATGTCTTTATACACATTACCTATGTTGTTAAGTGAGGTTGCAACATCTGGGTGGGGACTGTCTTTGTGTATTAGTCTTTCCATTGTCAGACTTTGTTGATGATACTCAAGTGCTTTAGTCAGATCTCCCATGTCTTTATACACACCACCTATGTTGTTAAGTGAGGTTGCAACATCTGGGTGGGGACTGTCTTTGTGTATTAGTCTTTCCATTGTCAGACTTTGTTGATGATATTCAAGTGCTTTAGTCAGATCTCCCATGTCATTATACACACCACCTATGTTGTTAAGTGAGGTTGCAACATTTGGGTGGGGACTGTCTTTGTGTATTTGTCTATATATTGTCAGACTTTCTTGATGATACTCAAGTGCTTTAGTCAGATCTCCCATGTCTTTATACACACCACCTATGTTGTTAAGTGAGGTTGCAACATCTGGGTGGGGACTGTCTTTGTGTATTAGTCTTTCCATTGTCAGACTTTGTTGATGATATTCAAGTGCTTTAGTCCGATCTCCCATGTCTTTATACACATTACCTATGTTGTTAAGTGACATTGCAACATCTGGGTGGGGACTGTCTTTGTGTATTAGTCTTTCCATTGTCAGACTTTGTTGATGATATTCAAGTGCTTTAGTCCGATCTCCCATGTCTTTATACACACCACCTATGTTGTTAAGTGACATTGCAACATCTGGGTGGGGACTGTCTTTGTGTATTTGTCTATATATTGTCAGACTTTCTTGATGATACTCAAGTGCTTTAGTCAGATCTCCCATGTCATTATACACACCACCTATGTTGTTAAGTGAGGTTGCAACATTTGGGTGGGGACTGTCTTTGTGTATTTGTCTATATATTGTCAGACTTTCTTGATGATACTCAAGTGCTTTAGTCAGATCTCCCATGTCTTTATACACACCACCTATGTTGTTAAGTGAGGTTGCAACATCTGGGTGGGGACTGTCTTTGTGTATTAGTCTTTCCATTGTCAGACTTTGTTGATGATATTCAAGTGCTTTAGTCCGATCTCCCATGTCTTTATACACATTACCTATGTTGTTAAGTGACATTGCAACATCTGGGTGGGGACTGTCTTTGTGTATTAGTCTTAACATTGTCAGACTTTCTTGATGATATTCAAGTGCTTTAGTCCGATCTCCCATGTCTTTATACACATTACCTATGTTGTTAAGTGAGGTTGCAACATCTGGGTGGGGACTGTCTTTGTGTATTAGTCTTAACATTGTCAGACTTTCTTGATGATACTCAAGTGCTTTAGTCAGATCTCCCATGTCTTTATACACACCACCTATGTTGTTAAGTGAGGTTGCAACATCTGGGTGGGGACTGTCTTTGTGTATTAGTCTTTCCATTGTCAGACTTTGTTGATGATATTCAAGTGCTTTAGTCAGATCTCCCATGTCATTATACACACCACCTATGTTGTTAAGTGAGGTTGCAACATTTGGGTGGGGACTGTCTTTGTGTATTTGTCTATATATTGTCAGACTTTCTTGATGATACTCAAGTGCTTTAGTCAGATCTCCCATGTCTTTATACACACCACCTATGTTGTTAAGTGAAGTTGCAACATCTGGGTGGGGACTGTCTTTGTGTATTCGTCTTTCCATTGTCAGACTTTGTTGATGATATTCAAGTGCTTTAGTCCGATCTCCCATGTCTTTATACACATTACCTATGTTGTTAAGTGACATTGCAACATCTGGGTGGGGACTGTCTTTGTGTATTAGTCTTTCCATTGTCAGACTTTGTTGATGATATTCAAGTGCTTTAGTCCGATCTCCCATGTCTTTATACACACCACCTATGTTGTTAAGTGACATTGCAACATCTGGGTGGGGACTGTCTTTGTGTATTTGTCTATATATTGTCAGACTTTCTTGATGATACTCAAGTGCTTTAGTCAGATCTCCCATGTCATTATACACACCACCTATGTTGTTAAGTGAGGTTGCAACATTTGGGTGGGGACTGTCTTTGTGTATTTGTCTATATATTGTCAGACTTTCTTGATGATACTCAAGTGCTTTAGTCCGATCTCCCATGTCTTTATACACATTACCTATGTTGTTAAGTGACATTGCAACATCTGGGTGGGGACTGTCTTTGTGTATTAGTCTTTCCATTGTCAGACTTTGTTGATGATATTCAAGTGCTTTAGTCCGATCTCCCATGTCTTTATACACACCACCTATGTTGTTAAGTGACATTGCAACATCTGGGTGGGGACTGTCTTTGTGTATTAGTCTTAACATTGTCAGACTTTCTTGATGATACTCAAGTGCTTTAGTCAGATCTCCCATGTCTTTATACACACGAACTATGTTGTTAAGTGATGCAGCAACATCTGGGTGGGGACTGTCTTTGTGTATAAGTCTTATCATTGTCAGACTCTCTTGATGATACTCAAGTGCTTTAGTCAGATCTCCCTTGTAAAAATACATACAACCTATGTTGTTAAGTGATGAGGCAACATCTGGATGGGGACTGTCTTTGTGTATTAGTCTTTTCATTGTCAGACTCTCTTGATGATACTCAAGTGCTTTAGTCAGATCTCCCATGTCATTATACATACAACCTATGTTGTTAAGTGAGGTTGCAACATTTGGGTGGGGACTGTCTTTGTGTATTAGTCTACATATTGTCAGACTCTCTTGAAAATACTCAAGTGCTTTAGTCAGATCTCCCATGTCATTATACACACTACCTATGTTGTTAAGTGATTTTGCAACATTTGGGTGGGGACTGTCTTTGTGTATTAGTCTTTCCATTGTCAGACTTTCTTGATGATGCTCAAGTGCTTTAGTCAAATCTCCCATGTCATTATACACACTACCTATGTTGTTAAGTGAGGTTGCAACATCTGGGTGGGGACTGTCTTTGTGTATTAGTCTTTCCATTGTCAGACTTTGTTGATGATATTCAAGTGCTTTAGTCAGATCTCCCATGTCATTATACACACTACCTATGTTGTTAAGTGAGGTTGCAACATCTGGGTGGGGACTGTCTTTGTGTATTAGTCTTTTCATTGTCAGACTCTCTTGATGATACTCAAGTGCTTTAGTCAGATCTCCCATGTCAAAATACATACAACCTATGTCGTTAAGTGAGGTAGCAACATCTGGGTGGGGACTGTCTTTGTGGATTAGTTTTCTCATTGTCAGACTTTGTTGATGATATTCAAGTGCTTTAGTCAGATCTCCCATGTCAATATACACATTACCTAAATTGTTAAGTGATCTAGAGACTCCACTTTCATCATTGATTTTTCTGTTTATTTTCAGACTGTCATTATGATATAAGAGTGCATCTGAGTAATTCCCTTGTGACTCATACAGTGAACCTATTGCATTCTGTATGGAAGCTATTTCCCACTCTTGCTCTCCTGCATCTAGGGATTGAAGTGTTTTTAACTCTGTTTGATAAGCATGCAATGCCCTCTCGAAGAAAAAAATGTTCTTATATAATTGCGCTTTCACTTCATTGTTTCCTTCAAGATATCTCTCTCTATATGCCCATGTACTGCTTACATTCAAGTTTAATTTGAGGAATTCACACCAGGGCATAAATGTGTTAAAAAATCGTAATATGGCTGTAAAACTTCTGACTGGCATCACTTCTGTTGTTTCATCATCTTGAGAGTCACTTGGTAAGAATGATATGAATTCCTTTTGTTGCTTATACCTTCCATAGACCATGTGTCTAAGGTTTATTACACTACAAACCATGATTTGTAGATCCTTTGCTGCCCCTTCAGTTAGAATACATTTCCCTCTCAATTCCTCTAACACATCTAGAGGAGCAAATGATGTGCAACCATGCATGAGTTTCAGAATATTTATAGTGATTGTAGCAAATCTATATATATCATGCTTTGTATGCATTTTCTGAGTGAATGATTCTGATGACAGGGGATTTTCACTATATTTTTTCGAATCTTTCTCTAGTGTTCTTAATGCTCGTTCTCTTCCTATAGTGATATCTGGATTAGTTTTTGATGGTGATGATAGTATGGAATGTACTTTTTCATTGTATTCATTCCATAAGGCGAATTCTCCAGTTATGAGAGTTGATGTCATGAGAACGTCACTAAGGTGATAGCCCTCTTTGATTGATTCATCTGTTAATTGAAACTTGCTCATCTCATCAACAGTCATGATAAGTTCAAGTCTGGAAGGTTTATTGGGATCTACTCCTGTTTTTCTACCAATAGCTGTTTTGCTAGCCCAAGGTTGTGTCCCATCAAAGGAAATTCCCCTAGTTGTTGCTTTGTCATAAAAGTCATTGTCTTTCATGTCACGTGGTAGGTGTTTGTTATAATCTGTCAGAACAGGTATGTCTAAGCAGTTTAACAATGTTTCCCCAAGATTAAGCACCTTCAAATGCATGTAATAGGCTATCATACGCAATTGTGTTTTGATTTGATCGACTGGTTTATCTAAGGGATCAAACAGTATTGCCCACTCAATATCTGAATAAGCAGTGACCTCTTTTCGGGATATGGAACCAAGTGCTAAGAATGCAAACTTACAATCAGGGTGTCCTAAAACAGAAATACAATCATGGATAATAGACTTATAAAAATCTAAAAGCTGTTGTGTAAGTCCATTATAAAACACCTTGCTGTATTTTATTGTGTTGTCTTCATCTTCGTCTTTCATCTCTGTGGTGACATTATCAACTACCATGTACTTTTCGATGATGTTATTTACGGTGGTGTTTGAATATTGTCTTATATTTTCAAGTGTGTCTGTATAGTTCTGTGTTGCAGCCTCTGTAGATAGTTCGCTATGATTTGCAGCTTGGCACTTCTTCACAAAGTTATTTTCTATAAGCTGGAGTTGTTTGTCAGTGTGTTCCAAGTCATCTTCAAGAGCTGTGTTTGTGCCATCAGTTTGTTTTCTCATCAATTTTTTAAGTCGACATTTGGCTGCATTATATAATGCACAGGACCAAACGTAGTGTTCATACCAGATATCAGATGTCTCTGCTGATTTGATATACTCTTGTCCAAGTTGACACATGAGGTCTGCCTGTTCTTTCAACTCAGTCTGTTGGTCACATGCTTTTATTTTGCAACCAAGTTCATACATTTCTTTGGTTACCTCTGAAAGATTAATGTTCGATTTCTTATTAAACTATACAGTTTCATATAGTCATGTTAGTAAATAAGTAATTTGATAGATTTTCGAAAATGCTGATTTACTAGGATTCATGGTATAATTTTATTCAGTGTTATCTCCAGGATTTTATCTCAAGTGGGTGCAAAATTCTTGATTTCACAATTTAGACTGAATTTATTCAGGATATGAATATGTTTCATGATTTTCTCATTTTTCAACTGGGTAACAAATACAGCATGCATCCAAAATTTCCATCATAAGTTGAAATATTGCAGGACTAAAATGGATTTTCAAGGGGGTGCATGCCTACTTTTAAAATCTCAAATGGTTGCAGCACCAACTTGCTGGGTGAGATCAGTGGTACTATGCTATTTTCGAAATATTACCCTTTGTGAGTTAATATTTAATCTTGAGAAGTTCAGTAATACATCATTAGTAAGGGTCCTGATAAAAATGTCCACTTGAAATGAGACTTAAGATTGTCTCCCCTTGAACATGTTGAAATGATGTATTGCAGTGTAAACTTTCAGCAAGACAGGGTGACCCTGCAATTTTGAATCATTTGGCACGAAAGCATGCCTAGATCAAACATATTAGCTTTCTTTTAATAGCAAAGAGATCAATGCAAATATACATGTGTGTGCATTATAATTTCAAACATTGAACTTTATCTACACAAGAACATTTAAGAAAATTCAATTATAATTTAGATTTTATTCCTAAGCTTCACCCAAAATAATTATTTATTCCAAAAATGTTGAATTTGTTTTTTTCTCATTATAAGGATTTTCAGGATCAGTAATAAAGAATATATTTCCTGCTTGACATTTCAGTATTTCACAATTTTGAATCTGTACAGGATGATCCAAAATAATTAGAACATTTTTCATTATAATATAACTTGTGATATCGCATATGAGAATGAAAGAATAGTCTGTTGTAAGCATTTTGTATTATATTTAAGTCGCCAAATCAAGGAGCTCCTTATGGCTCTACCCGTCTGAATAATCAGACATTGATTTATGGCTTTATGGATATTTTGAGACATTTTGCCCAATAATGACAAAAAATGCAGAACTCAGACATCCAAACTTTCTTATGAGAGTGTCTCCCTAATTAGAGGTGACCCAATTTGCTTTGAGGGCTTATTGACAGATTAGCATAAGTTGGAGTGAATGATAAATCTCATCAGTAAAAATATACAACAGTGAATAGGTAGAACATTTTCACAGGACACCCAATATCAGAAGAAGTGAGTAGCTGCCATAATTCTTATATTCTATCGTATTTGGGGATTCCCCAGTATATGATGTGCAATCAAATTACAGGATGTGATCACGTGAACAATCTTGAGCATGTGCTCTTTCAGTGCTGTACATGCGCAAATTAAAATTTGAAATCGTAGAAATGGCCTTTATTTCAGTTATCATTTCAACATCATCATCATCAACATCATCAACTTCGGTAATACTATTGAAGTTACTTGATCCAACTTGTAGAGAATACTCATAAAACAACAACGATCATTGTAAGATCCATTTCAATGGTAAATGAGGCCTGTTTATAAAATTGGTTATGAAAATAATTGTAAAGACCTTCAAATATTTGAAATAAAATGTCATCTCTTTTTCAAAAAGCTTTTATCTAAAAAATTTGAGATTTTGATAATGACATTTTTGTACTGCAAAAGGCCATTTATTAAAAATTTAGAAAAATGAGAAAAATTGTACAACAAAATTGTTTTCTATAGTTACCTGATTTATCATTGGTTGGTGGACCAGGGTTCTGCTCTACTCCTGCTCTCACCAGCAGCAGTTTTATGAGCCTAAGTCTTAATGCTAGTTGTTTTAGAAATTTGACGAGTGATGAATAGAATGTCTGATTTTTCTGGCCTCCACCGAAAGTCCCTATGGCCATTCTCCATTGCTGAGCAGAATTCCCCATGTTCAATTTTGTTTAATTGTATCATTCACCTACTTCTACTACTCGAATCTTCTTGAAAATAGCAATAGCTAAATTAAGTAAAAGCTTAAGACTCCATTTTGATACGTATGTTGCTTATCAAGTAGATCATAAGTAAATGTTTGTCAAATATATAATTTATTTTTTCTTTGCAACAAATCGGCTCACGCCTAGTGTCTCTATTAGATTCAAATAATCTTTCGTGATTGAAAAACATGTATTATGTGTTTTTAAAATGATCTTTTGACCCAATATTATTACCATAGGCAATATAAATAACAAGCATAGTAATAAAACTGGTTTTTTGTTTATCTTTTATTTCTTTTCAAAGACACACAAATATACACTTTTAGTAAGTGTAAATTCCCAATAACAGGTTAACAATAAAGATTGTGTGTTGCCATACGTGTTAAGTGCAGTTTGGGACCTGTCTATGCATTCAACTACAAATGAATGTAAAGTTTGGCTTGTCACATCTCAATAGAGATTGATTGAATGAATAGATACAGATTGAATAAATAGAGACGGATTGAAAAAAATAATACATACATACTTATTTAGAAGTTTTTTAAAATGGAAGCTGTAGACAAGGGGGAAAAGCAGGCTCTAAAAGAAAAAAAAGTCAGTCTATTCAAAAGATTCATTCATTCTATTCATATCTGTATTGATAAGATACAATAAGAATCTGATATACTGATCAATATGTTAAACGACAACTGAAATAGTAATTTAAACCTAAAGGCTTCCATTTTCTATAATAATGGATGTATTTGAACATTTCATCTGATCAGTAATGTTGCATCTGTTTCATTTAACATAGATGGTAGCTCATTAACAAGTAAAAAGTAATATTTCAATGATTTATGACATATGTTGGCCCCCATGTGACTTGCTACTGGTCATTATGTGGCCTGTCATAATTCTAAGATGTTTTGTTATTTGTTTACACAAAAATTACACCGAGATTACCAAGGAAACAATAAACCAAAACTAGAAATTATGTTTTTTGTTTTTTCAAATTTTATTTCATTAAAACATAATTAAACATTTGTACATATTTGTGGCCGTGACACCTACATAAGTATAATATAATTGACCACATTTAAAATCATTAACTAAAAATTTTTGAGTGCTTGAAAGTTTAACATAATATGACACTGAGTAAACCATAATAACCTCAAGATACGATACGTTATGTATGACATTACTGATCATGCAGGGGCCAATCTGATTGATCCGCACAGTCAATCACAGTAGGTACAGTTTAACGAGAAAATTCATGAATTTCCACCAAATTATGTACCATTTAAAAATCCCTGGGGATTTCGTAATTTGAGACATCTCCTCCAGGAGAATTTGGTAAACCTTAAGTGCGTTTATTGGAACTAATACAGAAGTTATTATAGACAATCAATCAATCTGAACCACTCTGACCTTGTACAATCAAACTTGTGTATGCAGACACTGCTATAAAATGAACAGAATGACCCTATATCTTTTCAACACTTTTTGCCAGCTTTTATATGCTATCAATGCTACCTTTCCTAAATTAAGGCGCCACTCTTTACGATGGTGAAACACTAAAATTGGTTACTTATATCTGTTGTAAAACTGAATTTCAACTTCAGAACATTGTTTCATGTTACGTGATAGATTGTATATTGATGATCAAAAGTTTATCAGTTTGCCTCATGAGTTGTTATTTTACTTAACTTAGTTTGAGAGGGATATAGAGAAGCCGTGTCTGTTCATCAATTCATTCATCCTGATGAAAGATATGGCTCACGACTAGATGTGATAGAGTGGAGCATCTTGATTTTCAGGGTCAGCAACTAAAACCCTGATAATCAAGATGACTTCACCTAGTGTATAATTCCATTGCTTAAATAAACAAAACAAAATGCTTATGAGCATGGTGTGCTCACAGCAAATACACAATTACGTAAGGCAAACAGATCAGTTCAATAGCTTCTTTCATTAGACACCTCAATCAGGGCCATAAAATTGTAATTGTGGTTACTTGTGAAATGAATATTTGGACAAATTTGATTGGTACAGTGGTAAAACACATGGGGAATGAATCACCACACAGTAATGTGACAGAAAAATCAGCTATTTGTTCAAAGGGGTGTTATAACCACTTGGAATTTGAAGGTGAGAGTGGAGTGGGTTGGAATATCTTGATAGATTACCATAAATGCACATAAAGTGGATATGAAATCTTATAACGTTTATTGTATCAAAATTATATTCAACACCAATGTCAATTATACTCAAAATATGAATCTGAATTGAATAATTCACCCATAATGTACGAGGGGTGATCAGGAAATTCTGGACAGTTGGCTCTATTTTTGCCATTTGTTAAGCTACGTTCACACCAACGGCGCTTTGATGGCGCTTTAAAGCGGCTTGTCAAGCGGCACCAAAGCGTAGCAAAGCTTGATTAAAGCGTCGGGGTCGTAATAGGTCGTAGAAAAGCTCGGGAGTAAAGCGGGATATTCGGTAAGAGCGCTAAAAAATTTAAACTGTTTAAGCGTTCGCACCAACGGCGCTTTGATGGCGCTTTAAAGCGGCTTTTAAAGCGGCACCAAAGCGTAACAAAGCTTGATTAAAGCGTCGGGGTCGTAATAGGTCGTAGAAAAGTTTGGAGTAAAGCGGGATATTCGGCAAGAGCGCCAAAAAATGTTAAACTGTTGGGCGTTTTGTTCTTCATTCACTCGGGTGATTTTAATGAAACTCCACAAATTCACCACACATTGAATGAGGATAATTTGTGCCAAATCTGAAGTGCCAAAACACTATGGTTAGAAAGTTATTTGGTTTTATTGCTGTAGCAGTCACCTCTGACTGCATTTTCATATTTTCCTAGTACAACTGTCATTTGAGCAGGTGTCCAAGGCATCATGCTTTACAACTTACCAACAACAGGAGCTATACATACACAGTCTCTTCTTTCTTTTCCTGAAAAAATGAACATAATTGAATTAGTATTTACCAAGATATAGTAATTTTCCATTCGCCTTTTTCGTATTTTGCTAGTACAATTGTCTTTTGAGCAAGTGTCCAAGACATCATGTTTTACAACGAACTAACAACAGGGCTATACATACACAGTCTTTTCTTTCTTTCCTGAAAATATGGACATAATTGGATTAGTATTTTCCAAGATATAGCGATTTCTTTGGGTTGCATTTTTTTGAACACCCTGTATATAGGCTCACACCATGAAGATTTTACTGTTCTGAGGATCATTATCCTTTTATGATTTATGATTTTCAAAAATGACTTTGAATCTCTGTAACTTTAGTATTCATCAAGTAAACTAAACACTTCATACAAAAAGGGAGACGATTCAATTTTCTATATAAAAATATTTTTTGTTGAATCTTTTACTGAATAGATTTCCTGATTTCTGATTTGCCCCGAACTCACCATTTCCCATTGGTTTACATGGGAATGACGATTTTCACTCATCAAATTTATCATCAATTTTCGACCTATTGTAATTGAGGAAAAAATTGGGAAAAGTTGGAGGTATTGGAAATAAAGTCAAGTTACGTTTCCATCAACATATTTAAAATCCATCGCAGGTTAAAGAGAGAATCAGATATAGTGAGCAGGCTAAACAAAAAATTGATTCAATTGTAGAATATTTTTGGTTCATGTCATTCCTTGTCATGTCTATTTTCTAAAAATCACAAAAGTGCATACTTTATTCCAGGAAAACTAAAGATTTTTACAATTATGTATTATTTTTCTATAAGAATGGTTACCATTCTTATTATTTGGGAGAATTTAAACATTTTTCACCCATTTTTGCACTTTGAATCATTAATAACTTCACCAATTCAGAACATATTGTGAATCTTTTGGGAGATATTGTATTTGATATTGTAAGGAATATATTGGTAGGTCAATTATACATGTTGCTTGTAATTTTGTCACCCCTATAGCTCAGATTCTGCCTTTAAGTAAATAAAAATTCAAACGTAAAGAGGCTTTAACACATAGTTCAATGGGGGAGCTAAGGTTGCTAAACCTATGGAGTGGAGTGTATATTCATTTGGATATACACTATTTTTTATACTATATATAACATAGAGTTGATGTGAGAAATCCTGGTTGTTAAATTGTCATGAACTAGGCATGCATCATTTTCAAAGATTGTTGCATTGGAAACAAATTACAAGGCTTTAGACTGGACAACTGGAATTAATATGATATGGAATGATAAACAGTTAACATTTAGACCATATCAGTAAACCATATCACATCTTGATAGAGTGAACAGAAAAATTGAACCCAAACAAATGTTAATAACTCAGTTCGTAGAATGAAAGAGCATTGAAAAAGGTTCAATTGTACTAAATATGACCTTAAATACATGCTGAATGACTGAGTTATTAGCATTTGTTTTTTTTTAACATTTTTAGCCCAACCTGTATTTTTGGAATTGTCACATTGAACACACTCTTGGTTCTTTGGTGCAACAAAAGATGGCAGGATTTGTTTAGAATATATTTTATTAATTAAACAAAACAAAATAACAAATGAAGTGAGGGTTCTTAATGTTCTACAATAACAATACAATGTTTAAACAATTGGAATAATTATTTCCTTTTTCCATAATAATTTTTCTTTACAAAATAATTTTCTTTACTCTAAACACAGGGCTCCAGACATATTCACAGTGTTCCTCCTTTCCAGGAGCCATGTGTTCAGATGATGATTTTATATCAATGTATTTTCATTCCAATATACAGCTTAGTGTAGTTTGATAAACCTGAATTTCAATTTTAAAGTATAAAGTATAAAATAGTTTATTTCTGTGTTACAAGCATTTCATACAAAATTCATTTAAAACATTTTTAAAAACATTGCTCCCAGTCGATGACGGCGTATGAGACACCAATTAAGTATACAATTTCCAAAGTGAAATGCATAGTAAAACAATGAGATAGACTATGTATTATTGAGTTCATTGTTAATTTTCCATCTACTCAAAGGAGACATCTTCCCCAAGGTCGATGTTCCTGTTAAGTAGATAATTGGAAAAAGAAAGCCTGATTAGTTGGTGATTGTAATGGCCCTCTGGTTGGCTCATGTACCCATTGAGGAGCCCCCCCCCCCATCAAACAGCCAATCTTGTTGTGGAAAATTTGACAAATGATTGACTTAACCATTTTTTCAAATTAGAATACAAATTCACAATAACGAACTCATTGTTCGGTTTAATTACACAATACATGTACAAAGATACATGCATGTATTAAAATTCTCACACAAAATATATATTTTTGCCTACTTCTCACTTGTACAATTACAAAAATTGTATATAACTTTTTCATTATCATGCATTATAAGTGCAAATATGTTAGAAAAAACATGAGTGTATGAAAAGAAGCAATTTACATTAACAAATTCAAATTGTTCCTTCAAATTCAATATGTTTTACAGTATTATTATACAGGGATTTCACTAGAATTTACCACAACAGGCTAAATAAATGTAAACAACAGGCAAAATTAATGAAAATCATAAATTTACTATTTAAAAGTCCCTGAAAACAACAGGTGATTTTGTGAAAACAACCAGTGAAAATCACCTGTTGCCTGCTGCTAATGAAACCTCTGTTATATATCTTATATTTCTTGTGGCCTTGTCTTTTACCACTTGTTGAGTTAAATACAGTAAATGTAGAAAACGTATAATACACAATAAAGTTTTACTCATTTTCCGCACCTTGATTTTTTGATTGTATTGTTATAAGAAATTGCCTTGTGAAAAGGTGCATTTTAAAAACTGGTGGAAAAATCTTTTTAACATTTTAGACTGAAAATAATGTCTTGTTAAGATATCCCTTTTGGGTTAAGTTATACAATCCTGTCCTTTAGCGTAAGAATTAGCATATATCATCTTGGGCCAGTATTCATAATCATTGAAGCAACATTTTCAGTACAATATAAATTATTAAATGTAATTACTCTTATATTTCCAAATTATGTACAGTTGAACCTCATATAGAGGTTCATTTAACATTAAGTCAGTTAATCTTGAAATTCTGAAAATTGTCTCTTTATCAGAGGTGTTCCACATTACAGGTTTCTGTGTACTGCTGCACAGATCTATTTTGAATCAATTTCTCATTTGCAACACCATTTAGTATATATGCTTTAATCTAACTAAAAATACAAGTTTGTAATGGCACAAGATACAAGTTCAATACATAATATGTGACGATAATGAAAGGATATACTGGTATTAAAGCACTAATATAATATCACACAACTTAAAATGCTAGAAATACATATCTCTCAATAAAGAGGTCACTGGAATTCAATATATGCCTGGTTCATATATTTTACAGGTTGAGACTCAATTAACTTATGTTCTTCTGAAATGATGAGGAGATAATGAATTGTAGTGTTAGCAAATAGAGGGGTTAAGCAAGAACATTGGAATTGCATTTAGAAAAGGGAAGGAGTCAAGTCCTTTGTTAAATTACTTTTAAAAGATAGATCATCACTTTGATCTGACCAAAAGGAAGACACTTCAATATCAGTTTTCACTATAAACAATAAGGCTGTTATGTTTTTTGACATGTTCATCCAAGTTTGGAATCATTTGGCTGTCAGATTGGTCTGTCAGTGTCAGTCAAGCAGTATGGGTACTAACTTAGGTGTTCAGTACATCCTGTTTACATCTAGAGGTGTTTTGGACACAGTCATCACTCACTGGGCTGTCAGATTGGTCTGTGTGTGGCTTGGCTTCATTCCTTAATATGGTTTGCTAAGTTCTAGTAAGTTGGTGTAAAGGAACTGTTAGATTAGAGAGGGCCTCTGTCTCTTAAATTATGAAAAATAAAGAAAAATGTCAAATGTGTTTGTAATTCCAAGTGTCAAGCAGAATTGGTCAAGCAGGATGGATATACCTTACTTATATAACTTGGTCAGTGGAAAAGAGTAGGTATCCATTCCTAGAGTAGTGAACTTCATGAAAATTAGTACAAATAGTATTCGTCTCTGAATTGAACAGTTTCATTTCAAAATAAATTTGGTTGTTTTTTTTTAGTCCTTTTTATTGGTGTAAATATTTTTGTGTGTGATTATTGTTTTTTTAGTCAATAGAACAATAGGTATATCACTCCAAAACATTACATTACACTTTTCTGGTGTTAGGTATGAGTCTCAGCAACAAGTTTAAATATCAATGGTTCAGTTTTGTGTTAGAGTGCAGGAACACAGGATTTATTCTGTACAATCATCAATCATTTCTAATGCTTCTATGTAATCAGGGTGTGAATCTCCTCCATACTGATGAGCAATGCTTAGAGCTTCAAAGTAATAAGTCAGTGCTTCTGTATGCTCCTTCATGTTCTCATGTATGATACCTATGTTTCGTAATACTGTAGCAACACTTGGGTGAGGATTGTCTTTGTGTATTTGTCTTCTCATTGTCAGACTTTCTTGATGATATTCAAGTGCTTTAGTCAGATCTCCCATGTTATTATACACAACACCTATGTTGTTAAGTGATGTAGCAACATCTGGGTGGGGACTGTCTTTGTGTATTAGTCTATACATTGTCAGACTTTGTTGATGATATTCAAGTGCTTTAGTCAGATCTCCCATGTTATTATACACAACACCTATGTTGTTAAGTGATCTAGCAACATCTGGATGGGGACTGTCTTTGTGTATTAGTCTATACATTGTCAGACTTTGTTGATGATATTCAAGTGCTTTAGTCAGATCTCCCATATACACAAGACCTATGTTGTTAAGTGATGCAGCAACATCTGGATGGGGACTGTCTTTGTGTATTAGTCTATTCATTGTCAGACTTTCTTGATAATATTCAAGTGCTTTAGTCAGATCTCCCATCTTAATATACACAAGACCTATGTTGTTAAGTGAGGTTGCAACAGCTGAGTGGGGACTGTCTTTGTGTATTAGTCTATTCATTGTCAGACTTTCTTGATAATATTCAAGTGCTTTAGTCAGATCTCCCATCTTAATATACACAAGACCTATGTTGTTAAGTGAGGTTGCAACAGCTGAGTGGGGACTGTCTTTGTGTATTAGTCTTAACATTGTCAGACAATCTTGATGATACTCAAGTGCTTTAGTCAGATCTCCCATGTCATTATACACAATACCTATGTTGGTAAGTGATCTAGCAACATCTGGATGGGGACTGTCTTTGTGTATTAGTCTATACATTGTCAGACTTTGTTGATGATATTCAAGTGCTTTAGTCAGTTCTCCAATCTTAATATACACAATACCTATGTTGTTAAGTGATCTAGCAACATCTGGGTGGGGACTGTCTTTGTGTATTAGTCTATACATTTTCAGACTTTGTTGATGATATTCAAGTGCTTTAGTCAGATCTCCCATGTCATTATACACAATACCTGTGTTGTTAAGTGATCTAGCAACATCTGGGTGGGGACTGTCTTTGTGTATTAGTCTATACATTGTCAGACTTTGTTGATGATATTCAAGTGCTTTAGTCAGATCTCCCATATACACAAGACCTATGTTGTTAAGTGATGCAGCAACATCTGGGTGGGGACTGTCTTTGTGTATTAGTCTTCTCATTGTCAGACTTTCTTGATAATATTCAAGTGCTTTAGTCAGATCTCCCATCTTAATATACACATTACCTATGTTGTTAAGTGAGGTTGCAACAGCTGAGTGGGGACTGTCTTTGTGTATTAGTCTTTCCATTGTCAGACTTTCTTGATGATATTCAAGTGCTTTAGGCAGATCTCCCATGTTATTATACACAACACCTATGTTGTTAAGTGATCTAGAGACCCCACTTTCACTATTGATGTTTCTGCCTATTTTCAGACTTTTATTATGATATAAGAGTGCATCTGAGAAATTCCCTTGTGACTTATAAAGTGAACCTATTGCATCCTGTATGGAAGCTATTTCCACCTCATGCTCTCCTGCATCTAGGGATTGAAGAGTTTTTAACTCTGTTTGATAAGCATGCATTGCCCTCTTGAAGAAAAAAATGTTCTCATATAATTGCGCTATCACTTCATTGTTTCCCTCAAGATATCTCTCTCTATATGCCCAGGCTCCACTTGCATTCAAGTTTGATTTGAGGAATTCACACCAGGGCATGAATGTGTTAAAAAATCGTAATATGGCTGTAAAACTTCTGACTGGCATCACTTCTGTTGTTTCATCATCTTGAGAGTCACTTGGTAAGAATGATATGAATTCCTTTTGTTGCTTATACCTTCCATAGACCATGTGTCTAAGGTTTATTACACTACAAACCATGATTTGTAGATCTTTTGTCGCCCCTTCAGAAAGGATACCCTTCCTTCTCAATTCCTCTAACACATCTAGAGGAGCAAATGATGTGCAACCATGCATGAATTTCAGAATATTTATAGTGATTGTAGCAAATCTGTATATATCATGCTTTGTATGCATTTTCTGTGTGAATGATTCTGATGACAGGGGGTTTTCACTGTATTTTTCTAAGTCTTTCTCCAGTGTTTTTACTGCTCGTTCTCTTCCTATAGTGATGTCTGGATTAGTTTTAGATGGTGATGATAATATGGAATGTACTTTGTCATTGTATTCCTTCCATAAGGCAAATTCTCCATTTATGAGTGTTGATGTCATGAGAACATCACTTAGGTGGTAACCCTCTTTTATTGATTCGTCTGTAAACTGAAACTTGCTCATCTCATCCACAGTCATGATAAGTTCAAGTCTGGGAGGTTTATTGGAATCTTCTCCTGTTTTTCTACCAATAGCTGTTTTGCTAGCCCAAGGTTGTGTCCCATCAAAGGAAATTCCCCGAGTAGTTGCTTTGTCATAAAAGTCATTGTCTTTCATGTCAGGGGGTAGGTGTTTGTTATAATCTGTCAGAACAGGTATGTCTAAGCAGTTTAACAATGTTTCCCCAAGATTAAGTACCTTCAAATGCATGTAAAAGGCTATCATACGCAATTGTGTTTTGATTTGATCGACTGGTCTATCTAAGGGATCAAACAGTATTGCCCACTCAATATCTGAATAAGCAGTGACCTCTTTTCGGGATAGGGAACCAAGTGCTAAGAATGCAAACTTGCAATCAGGGTGTCCTAAAACAGAAATACAATCATTGATAATAGACTTATAAAAATCTAAAAGCTGTTGTGTAAGTCCATTATAAAACACCTTGCTGTATTTTATTGTGTTGTCTTCATCTTTGTCTTTCATCTCTGTGGTGACATCATCAACTACCATGCACTTTTTGATGATTTCATTTACAGTGGTGTTTGAGTACTCTCGTATATTTTCGAGTGTGTCTGTATACTTCTGTGTTGCAGCCTCTGTAGATAGTTCGCTATGGTTTGCAGCTCGGCATTTCTTCACAAAGTTACTTTCTATAAGCTGGAGTTGTTTGTTAGTGTGTTCCAAGTCATCTTCAAGAGCTGTGTTTGTGCCATCAGTTTGTTTTTTAATCAATTTCTTAATTCGACATTTAGCTGCATTGTTTAATGCACAGGACCAAATGTAGTGTTCATACCAGATATCAGAGGTCTCTGCTGACTTGATATACTCTTGTCCAAGTTGGCACATGAGGTCTGCCTGCTCTTTCAACTCAGTTTGTTGGTCACATGCTTTTATTTTACAACCAAGTTCATACATTTCTTTCGTTACCTCTGAAAGGTTAATGTTCACTTTCTTATTAAACTATACAGTTTAATATATTCATGCTTGAAAATAAGTAATTTGATAGATATGCAAAAATGCTGATTTAATAGGATTCATGGTATAATTTTATTCAGTGTTCTCTCCAGGATTTTATCTCAAGTGGGTGCAAAATTCTTGATTTCACAATTTAAACTGAATTTGGTCAGGATATTAACATTTTTCATGATTTTTCTCATTTTTCAAGTGGGTGCAAATGGATTTTCAAGATGGTGCATGCCTATCATTACAATCTCAAATGGGTGCCGCATTAACTTGCTGGGGGAGATAAGTGGTACTATGCTATTTTCAAAATATTACCCTTTGTGCTTCCTCATTGGTTTGGTAAAATATGTGAGTTAATATTTAATCTTAAGAATTTCAGTAATGCATTATTAGAAGGGGTCCTGATAAAAATGTCCACTTGAAATGAGACTTAAGATTGTATCCCCTTGAACATGTTGAAATGATGTATTGCAGTGTAAACTTTCAGCAAGACAGGGTGACCCTGCAATTTTGAATCATTTGGCATGAAAGCATCGAAAATAAGCTTTCTTTTAATAGCAAAGAGATCAATGCAAATGTACAGGGTGTCCCGAAAGTAGTAGTATCATGGTATTTTCAAAATATTGCCCTTTGTGCTTCCTCATTGATTTGCTAAATGTGAGTTAATATTTAATCAAAAGAAGTTCGGTAATACTTGATCTGTATTAAGGGGTCCTGATAAATGCACTCACTTAAAAAGGGACCTAAGATTGCCTGTTCTTGAACATGTTGAAACAATATATTGCAATGCAAATTTTCAGGAAGACAGGGTGACCCTGCAATTTTGAATCATTTGGCACGAAAGCATGCCTAGATCAAACATATTAGCTTTCTTTTAATAGCAGAGATCAATGCAAATATACATATGAGTGCATTATAATATCAAACATTGAACTTTATCTACACAAGAAAGTTTAAGAAAATTCAATTATAATTTAGATTTTATTCCAAAGCTTCACCCAAAATAATTATTTATTCCAAAAATGTTGAATTTGTTGCTTTTTCATTATAATGATTTTCAGGATCAGTAACAAAGAATATATTTCCTGCTTGACATTTCAGTATTTCACAATTTTGAATCTGTACAGGATGATCCAAAATAATTAGAACATTTTTCATTATAATATAACTTGTGATATCGCATATGAGAATGAAAGAACAGTCTGTTGTAAGCATTTTGTATTATATTTAAGTCGCCAAATCAAGGAGCTCCTTATGGCTCTACCTGTCTGAATAATCAGCCATTGATTTATGGCTTCATTGATATTTTGGGACATTTTGCCCAATAATGACAATATGCAGAACTCAGACATGCAAACTTTCTTACGAGAGTGTCTCCCTGATTAGAGGTGACCCAATTTGCTTTGTTTACATGAGGGCTTGTTGAGCATAAGTTGGAGTGAATGATAAATCAGTAGAAATATACGACAGTGAATAGGAAGAACATTTTCACAGGACACCCAGTATCAGAAGAAGTGAGTAGCTCCCATAATTCTTTCATATTCTATTGTATTTGGGGATTCCCCAGTATATGATGTCCAATCAAATTACAGGATGTGATCACGTGAACAATCATGAGCATGTGCTCTCTCAGTGCCGCACATGCGCCAAGTAAAATTTGAAACTGTGGAAATGACATTTATTTCAGTTAAACATCATTTCATCATCATCATTTTAAAACTATGGTAATACTATTGAAGTTACTCGATCCAAACTTGTAGAGAATACTCATAAAACAACAGCAGACATTGTGAGATCCATTTCAATGGTAAATGAGGCCTGTTTATAAAATTGGTGGAGACCTTCAAATATTTGAAAGGCCATCTCTTTTGAAAATGCTTTTATCTAAAAGGTTTGAGATTTTGATAATGAAATTTGTTTGTAACTGCAAAAGTCCTTTTTATTAGAAATTTAGAAAAATGACAAAAATTGTACATATGGATTTTTCTATAGTTACCTGATTTATCATTGGTTGGTGGACCCGGGTTCCGCTCTACTCCTGCTCTCACCAGCAACAGTTTTATGAGCTTAAGTCTCAATGCTAGTTGTCTTAGAGATTTGACGAGTGATGAATGGAATGTCTGATTGTTCTTGCCTCCACAGAAAGTCCCTATGGCCATTCTCCATTGTTCTGTTGAATTTCCCATATTCTGTTTTGTTTTATGGAATTCAACTTCTGCTACTCAAATCTTGTTCAAATAGCATTGGCTAAATGATATTTTATTTCTTAGTCAAACAGAGATTCCACTTTGACACGTCATATGTCATTTTTCAAGCATATCGTTAATGTTTGTGAAGTAATTGTTCTTCGAATATATAATTCATTTCTTTGATCAAGCCAATACCTGGTGCTTATTAGATTCAAATAATCTAAACTGATTGAAAAACAAATGTTATATATTTTTAAAATGATTTTAGACCTTATATATTATTACCGTTGGCTAAAGATAACATGCATTGTAATCAAATTGGTACTCAAAGGCATAACATGGCTAAATAACATGTAGATGATCATTTATCAGTATGTATCAAGGTGGGAACAACTTCATACGTATGATAAAAAGATCACATGACTGTTATTGTTTATCTATAATTTTAATGTGACCTTCTCATAGATAATTGTGGATAATCAGAGTTTAAAACAGCTCTACCCCACTGAAGTTTGTAGGGATAGAGAGCTCTCTGTTTGTTCCTCCGTCCTTTCGTTCGCTCGTCTGGCAGATAACTCAAATACGGGTTGATTCAAATTTAATACACTTATGCCTAATTGGAGTAGAACCTCTGCTCTAGAAGGAATTTCCAATATAGCGACCAAAATCAAAATGTAATGATTAATTACTCAAATATCAGTTGGCAGATTTGATTCAAATCTTATATGTTGATGCCTAATACTTCAGAAGAAATTTTTGAGATGATAGCTGAATTTCAAAAAAATGTAATTTTTGATAACTTAAATACTATTCATGGACCAAACTATTTTATAGGCTAATGTTAGTGGGTAGAGGAGGCATTTTTAAAATGGCCTCTAATTTCAAAATGGCACCATTTTTCATGAAAGATATTTTGTTTGATAACTCAAATACCAGTTGACTGAATTGGTTCAAATTATATATGCTGATACTTTAGGGACACAGGACTCTGCTTTAGAAGGATTTTCAAAGTGGCTGCCATTTTCAGGAAATTTTGCAATTTATAATAACTTTAATACCAGTTGTAGGATTTGGCACAAATTTATTTTTTTGTTGTAGATGGCTCAGAATTTGATCAAGTTAATACAATGGAGAAGTATGCAATGGAACGAGTGTCACTCAGGTCTATTGTGGAGGAACCATATGCACCTGTAGTAAGTAATACTCTTTCAATTAATACAATGGAGAAGTATGCAATGGAACGAGTGTCACTCAGGTCTATTGTGGAAGAGCCATATGCACCTGTAGTGAGTAATACACTTTCAATCAATAAAATGGAGAAGTGTGCAATGGAACGAGTGTCATTCAGGTCTATTGTGGAGGAACCATATGCACCTGTAGTAAGTAATACACTTTCAATTAATACAATGGAGAAGTTTGCAATGGAACGAGTGTCACTCAGGTCTAATCTGGAGGAACCATATGCACCTATAGTAAGTAATACACTTTCAATTAATAAAATGGAGAAGTGTGCAATGGAACGAGTGTCATTCAGGTCTATTGTGGAGGAACCATATGCACCTGTAGTAAGTAATACACTTTCAATCAATAAAATGGAGAAGTGTGCAATGGAACGAGTGTCACTCAGGTCAATTGTGGAGGAACCATATGCACCTGTAGTAAGTAATACACTTTCAATTAATACAATGGAGAAGTTTGCAATGGAACGAGTGTCACTCAGGTCTATTCTGGAGGAACCATATGCACCTATAGTAAGTAATACACTTTCAATTAATAAAATGGAGAAGTGTGCAATGGAACGAGTGTCATTCAGGTCTATTGTGGAGGAACCATATGCACCTGTAGTAAGTAATACACTTTCAATCAATAAAATGGAGAAGTGTGCAATGGAACGAGTGTCACTCAGGTCAATTGTGGAGGAACCATATGCACCTGTAGTAAGTAATACACTTTCAATTAATACAATGGAGAAGTATGCAATGGAACGAGTGTCAATCAGGTCTATTGTGGAGGAACCATATGCACCTGTAGTAAGTAATATATTTTTGATTCATACAATGGAGAAGTGTGCAATGGAATGAGTGTCACTCAGGTCTATTGTGGAGGAACCATATGCACCTGTAGTAAGTAATACACTTTCAATTAATACAATGGAGAAGTATGCAATGGAATGAGTGTCACTCATTTCATTGTGGAGGAACCATATGCACCTGTAGTAAGTAATACACTTTCAATTAATACAATGGAGAAGTTTGCAATGGAACGAGTGTCACTCAGGTCTATTCTGGAGGAACCATATGCACCTATAGTAAGTAATACACTTTCAATTAATAAAATGGAGAAGTATGCAATGGAACGAATGTCACTCAGGTCTATTGTGGAGGAACCATATGCACCTGTAGTAAGTAATACACTTTCAATTAATACAATGGAGAAGTATGCAATGGAACGAGTTTCACTCAGGTCTATTGTGGAGGAACCATATGCACCTGTGAAAATAATACACTTTCAATTAATACTATGGAGAAGTATGCAATGGAACGAGTGTCACTCAGGTCTATTGTGGAGGAACCATATGCATCTGTAGTAAGTAATACACTTTCAATTAATACAATGGAGAAGTATGCAATGGAACGAGTGTCACTCAGGTCTGTTGTGGAGGAACCATATGCATCTGTAGTAAGTAATACACTTTCAATTAATACAATGGAGAAGTATGCAATGGAACGAGTGTCACTCAGGTCTATTGTGGAGGAACCATATGCATCTGTAGTAAGTAATACACTTTCAATTAATACAATGGAGGAGTATGCAATGGAATGAGTGTCACTCAGGTCTATTGTGGAGGAACCATATGCACCTATAGTAAGTAATACACTTTCAATTAATACAATGGAGAAGTATGCAATGGAATGAGTGTCACTCAGGTCTATTGTGGAGGAACCATATGCACACTTTCAGTTAATACAATCGAGAAATATGCAATGGAACGAGTGTCACTCACTGGTCTATTGTCAAGGAACCACATGCATATGTTGTAAGTAATACAAGCAATTTAAGGGGCTCAATTTGTAGATATGCTTACTATCCTAAAAGAATTATTAACAGTAGTCAGTGATTAAACCTTCTTTTCTGTTGAAACTTTTCTGTTGAAAAAATAATTTTTTAAAAGGATCAAGTACATGAAATGAGAACATCTATGATTCCAATTATTTTCTCATGCTTATAATCATTTCATGGAACCTTCCAGCATTTTTCTGAATAAATGATTAAATTTTTAAATGTGAATCATCAATTTGAATCATGATTTTCCAATATTTATGTCATGGGACTTTATAATTTGATCTTATTGTAATGATTTATTCTTTCAGGATAGACTTCTGAGTGCGCTTTGCAAGCATATAGACTGCTCAGCTCAGACAATTAATTCTTTCGCAGTTGATCTCCAAGAAACAGCTATTAACAAGAATTCTGTTCAAAAGGTAAACTCAAGATTCAACAGTAAAATCAAGATTTAGCATAAACTTGAATATTAGGGTCCATGTTTTCTTGATGCTCAAGCTGAAATTTTATAGATTTATTATTATCACAATTATCTTAGGGGTGATAAGTTTAGGGTTTTAATGTATGACAAAGTTCTGAGAGGAACCATTTTTTCCACATGTAGTAAATCTGTCATATTCAAACACCACTGTGATCAGCCAAAAGTATTGGGATTAGAAAGTAATCACATTTCAAGGGCTGTTCTTATATTAATCATTAGGAGACAAAATTGGGACTGAGAAAAGTGTTCGCTGTTCATATTTAGAAGTATTTGGATTATACAAGTCTTCAGGGTTTACTGTGCATACTCTACTATATCATGTGTTTCGACTTCAGATTGACAACACCTGGGCCCTCAGTAAGATATCTATATTTTCCTCAGGATATACCCCATATCCAATACCTCCCATAACATAACACTCATATATATCCTGTGTTTTCCCTTTCAGTTTGACAAGATCATCACATTTCTAGAGTTAGAACAATGCACACTTAGCAAATACGCCCCGAGTACGCCAGTCAAGGGCTCTATATTCAGCAAGCCGTACAAGGCTGCCATGTCAACAGAGAATGAGATCTGCCTATTCCCATATGACATTGACAATGAACTCTGCAAGAGAATCACTATGGGCCTGTCACACACTAGGAAACTATAGCAATGCATTTTCTAGTAACATAGCAACATGGTTACCAAGCAACAGTGTCTAAAGAATAATATTCGCTGATACACTGGAACAATAACAGTTTCTGTTCAACTTAGTAACCTAGCAACATAATAGATTGTGGGTGGTGGTCTAGCAACATGGTTGCCTAGCAGCATTATGTGACCTTTCAATATATTGAACTCATAACATTACATTTAACAAAGAGACTTAGCAACAATTGCTAGTAGCTTATCAAAATGGTAACCTAGCAACAGTGTCCTTAGAACACTGTGATCAAGTAATAGTGGATAGTTACCGTTTTACTGCTGTACCAAATTATCTAGCAGCTATTCTGATCCCATAGCAACCTTTTTTTTTCTTTACCTGACAACAATGGCTAATCAGAATGTGACCTAGCAACAGTGCCTAGTAAATACTGAACATTATGATACATCCAAGTGTCATAGCAACATTGCCTGGTAGCAAGTTAGCAACCTAGTAACCTGGCAACAATGAGTTGTACATTTCTCATTATTATTCATGTTCATTTCATGAGATTTCCATGGCATATTCCAAGAAAGCACAGGAATATCTGCTCTCTCAAAATGATGACATTTGCATCAAATGTAAAACAGGGGTCCATTCCGCGTTTATCTTAAAATTACAGATCTTTGAGTCGATTGTCTTCAAAAAATTCCGTGCAATAATTCCGTAAATCTGATTTGATGATTATTGATTTGTAGACCTGTAACTTTACTGTAATCAAAATGTAAATAGTTGTACATATATGAAAAATTAGATATACAAATT